CGCTTTAAAAGTCAGCCTTCTGTCAAGAGTGATACCAAGGTACTTTACTTTTGAGGCTTTGGGAATAGTGGGCCCCAATGCAACGCTTGGGCAATCTCCTCTTCTAGTGGCGAAGGTAGTATGTACAGACTTTTGTGCATTAATGGTGATACACCACCGTTTTGCCCAGCGTCCGAAAGAGTCCAGATATTTTTGTAGTGAGTCTGAAGCTTCTTGCGCAGATACGTGACGTGATAAGATGGCGGTGTCATCTGCATAGGTCGCTATGAGTACTGCATCTGTACTTCCTATATTTGGCTCGGGAGTTGGCATATCTCCTGTGAATAAAGTATAAAGTGTTGGGCCTAGAACACTACCCTGTGGTACTCCAGCCATAATTGGTCTAGTCAAGGATACTGCTTGCCCCCTTGACACTTGGAAGGTTCTTCCAATAAGGTATGAGGATAGCAACGCGAAAAAATGGGGCTGGAAGGGTGGTCCTCACTTTCTGCAGCAGTCCCAGGTGCCAAACTCGATCAAACGCCTGTTTGATGTCGCGGCGTTTAGCGTTTGTTTTTTTTTACTCTTAGCGCATAATTAGCGGATCCAGAGTCAAATAGAAACCAATCCACGACAGCTCAATTAGCACCTATTTGAATAGACCCAGCATAAATAGCAATATTGCGGTTTGTGCACCTGACCACGTCGTTTAGTTGCTTTTTGCAGCGTGAAATGTCTCAAATTGCGCAGCTGCTTGCCTAATGCCCTTTATCACCCTGTATTTACCATAATGAGTATTGTGTTTCCACAGAATGTGGTCACTCGATTATTTACGGAGCTTAATCGATTGATGCCAAATTAAAATTCAGATATTAAGGATAATTGCTCCAGCGCCAATTGGCTATGATTATCGTATTTATCTTTTATTTATACAAATTAAGTGCACAAGTTTGCAGCACGCAAAGGTTAAAATTAAAATTGAATTTGTATAACAACTAACCTCTTGCAATTATATTAGTAGGTAACGTAGCAGTCAGCTGATTGACAGGCCATCTCATAGTATTTGATAATCGATGCAAAGCGTTAAAGTCAATTATAATTCAATTTTATCAATGAAATCGCGTTTTTGGGGCCGGTCTAGTAAACCGGTTTGTGTGAGTTTGTTTGCGAACACACAAATCAATATCCACATTCATAAGAGAATTCAAACACATGTGCACAAATACGCAACGATCGCACAGCAGACGTATCAGGCATGCAATCCAATTTGCAAAAAAGTCCTCCGCTTGGCGGCGCCACAAGTTCACATTGTTGATTGAATTTGCTGACCCACTAGCCGCAAAAAGAATGAAAACAATAAAAAACAACAATAACAAAAAGCTAACGATCCGATAGAGCGAAAGAGGGAGGGGAAGAACGCACGAGAGACAGCGAACTGTCAATCAAGCAAAGTTGCACTTTGCGCTTGAGCTTGGATTCCGTTTTCATTTCCATTTCGTTTTGTCTGTCCAAACGCCACGCGTGGCAACAGCGACAAATGCCGTCGACTTGGAATTTCGCTGTCGTTTTAAGTGTGTCTCTCGATGGGCTGATCCGAACATACAATATATATAAAAAAAAAAACAAATATTAAAAACTAGTTGTAACCGGAATTGAGGCTTTGCTAACGGTTAAGCTCGCGTTGAACTTTGCGAGTGGCGCGCTTTTGTCGAATTATGTATTTCGGCAGCAACAATCTAATGCAGCCATTAGGGCAATGTCTGATGGATGCTGACTCATGGAAATGAGGATGAAGTGAGGTTACTGCTGCTTGCAATAGTCGTTTTGCTTATCAACAAAATTGGATTGAGTCCCTCCCTCATTTGTGCATCAAAGTTTGTGTATGTACATGTATGGGTGTGGGTGTAGGTGTTTGTGTGTGACTCTTTGTTTGGGGATTGGCGCATCTTATCAATCGGATCGCTGTTACGCGTCATTTTACGCGCAATTGCTTCCTGAAGTGCAGCTCAATGACAGTTGTGCAAATTTGTTATCGATACACTGTATTAAGTGTGACCATTAAGTAGCCTTGAGCTACAACATATGGTCCTTTAATGTGACCATAACAATAGTGTTGCCCACTTTGGCGGGAAAAAAGCTAAACGCTTCAGTAAAGCTAGATTTAGCAGGAATCCCCCATTACTGATCCGCACTGACATTTAGTTGTGCTATTTGCATTTATTTACTCATTGTTTTATTTGTTATTTTGCAGAAAGTGCCAGTCATTGGTGGCTATGTGCGTCAAATAGCTTCTGACGGTGCCAGCTTGCGTGAAGTGCTAGCTTGTAAGATTCCGCAGGAGCAAGAACGTGTAAAAGCATTCAGGAAGCAGCATGGCTCCACCAAAACCGGCGAGACAACCATCGATATGATGTACGGTGGCATGCGCGGCATCAAGGCTCTGGTCACCGAGACCTCTGTGTTGGACGCCGATGAGGGTATTCGCTTCCGTGGTCTATCCATTCCCGAATGCCAGAAGGTACTGCCTGCTGCCGATGGCGGCTGCGAGCCACTGCCAGAGGGCCTCTTCTGGCTGTTGATGACCGGCGAGGTGCCAACCAAGGCCCAAGTCCGGCAATTGTCCTGCGAATGGGCTGATCGCGCTGCACTGCCCCAGCATGTTGTTAACATGCTGAACAATATGCCTACGACACTGCATCCAATGTCGCAACTTGCTGCCGCCGTTGTGGCTCTCAACCATGACAGCAAGTTCGCCAAGGCCTACTCGGAAGGTGTACACAAGACCAAGTATTGGGAATACGCTTACGAGGACAGCATGGATCTGATTGCTAAGCTCCCAGTGGTAGCTGCCACTATCTACTGCAACACCTATCGCGGCGGCAAGGGGTCACGTTCCATTGACTCCAGTCTGGATTGGTCGGCGAACTTTGTGAAAATGCTCGGCTATGACAGCCCTCAGTTCACCGAGCTGATGCGTCTCTACCTGACCATTCATAGCGATCACGAGGGCGGCAATGTGTCCGCCCACACGGTACATTTGGTTGGATCAGCTCTTAGCGATCCCTACTTGTCGTTCGCTGCTGGTATGAATGGTCTGGCTGGTCCTTTGCACGGTCTTGCCAACCAGGAGGTACTTATCTGGCTGCGCAAGCTGCAGAAGGAGGCGGGCAATAATCCTTCTGAGGAACAGCTTAAGGAATACATCTGGAAGACGCTCAAGTCTGGACAGGTGAGCTCCCTTCATTGACCCACTCATTGATTGGGTTCATTAATTGTTTATTCTTTGCTGTAGGTGGTGCCTGGCTATGGCCATGCTGTGCTACGCAAGACGGATCCGCGTTACACTTGCCAGCGCGAGTTCGCCTTGAAGCATCTGCCCGAGGATGAGCTATTCCAGCTGGTGTCGAAGATCTACAAGGTTGTGCCACCAATTCTAACTGAGACCGGCAAGGTCAAGAACCCCTGGCCCAATGTTGATGCTCATTCTGGTGTCCTGCTGCAATACTATGGCATGAAGGAGATGAACTACTACACTGTCCTCTTCGGTGTTTCTCGCGCGTTGGGTGTGCTCGCTTCTCTGGTTTGGGATCGCGCACTCGGTCTGCCTATCGAGCGTCCCAAATCCCTATCCACCGACATGCTCATGAAGATGGTCAAGAAGTAAGCTAAGCAACAACGCAATTGACGGATGGACGGACTGCATTTTTTACAATGCAGTGAAGTGTGGCAACGGGAAGTTCAAATGTAGCAAAGCAAAGGAAAAGTAATACTAGAAAAACTCAAAATAAAACAATGAGAAACAATTTGCAAAAAAAGTAGCGAGTAGCAACAAATAGACAAAAAGGGGAACGTGAAAGAGAGATAGAACGGGAGATTTTGAGAGGACAAGAGAGAGGGAGAGAATTAGAGAGAGAAGGGGAAAATTGACGATAAATCATGAATATATAACTTTTACATATATGGTAGCAAATAAATGTGACGACATCATGATATTGTAGCTTGGGCAGCTGAGCGAGCGTAGAAAGGCAACAAATGAAGATGCAAACAACCAAATATGAAATCACAAGCAAGTTACGTATATATATATATATGTGTATATGTATATGTATATATATATGTATGTCGTAATTATATGTATGTATTTATATATGTAATATATATAAATATATATGTATATAGATATGAGCATATGTTGAAAACTGCAACAGCAAAACAATAAGTTGAAAATAAGGCAACATTTAAATAATTATTAAATAGTATAGCTAAATTATGAATGAGAAACCTATAACGAACAGCAATAGAAAAATAAATTCACTAAATAATTTGTAAGCTCTATTTATACCATATTAAGTTATATAATGAGAGACAGCTGTTTGCACACACACAAACACTGTCACACACACACTCTGACACACAAACCAACCCGAAACCATTTCCTGTACAAAAAACACTATTTTCAGCATTTTTTTTCCAACTATCTAGACGACCTTTTCTTATGCCCTCTCTGAACTGCTTATTAAGTTTGTTACTTAACTACATTTTAAGCCAATATTATGTTTCGATACATTGACTTTACTTTACTTTACTTAACGTTACCAAAATACCCGAACCACTCAAAGGCCCGCCTAATATCTAAAAACTAACTTGATAACAAATTTACTTTTAATTTACCCATTAACTATATAGTTTTTTTCTTTTTACGTTTACTTTAAAAACAATGGAAACATGTTATTTTATGTAATTTATTGCAAACCAGTAAATATAATAACGAAAAATAAAATACATCCAAACAAGTGGAAAGAGAAACCTCTACAAAAAAGTTCAATAAAAAAAACGGAACAATAATATACAAAACAAATGCTTGTACTTGTTATTTATTATTTTGGGTAATGGGGGGTAGTCGAGTTTGAATTTTAGCGGGGTTTGCAGTGTATCAAATAAAATTGTGCTTTAGAGCTTTTTATCGGTACCGATTTATCGACCGGCCGCCTCAAATATAAAATTTGTCGATTGTACAGCACTGCTGGCTGCTGATTTGTGCACCGTGTTACATCACTTAGACGAATTATAGGCAAATTGAACGGGATTTGTGCAGTGCAGAGATAGAGTAAACAATTAGAAATATCTATTAGAAATGTGCATAAACTTGCCACTTCGCAACGCGATTTCATAACAATCCAAGGAGCCCGAAAGCCAGCACTGACGTGAACTTGCGGGCTGCGTGTTTTGGATCGCGTTCGCCGGAAACATAAACATACGATGAGCGAAAGCACAAATCAGGTTAGTTGCTGGCCAGGTATAGCAGTGCAAATCCTAAATTAAAGACGCAACGCGGGGCAAGCTGTAAAAATTATCAGCGTATATATTTTTCGTTGATTACGATTGCCAACACACACAAACATAAATAAATAAACTGCGCCGTTGCAGTAGCAATTGCTTTGCCTTTCTGTGTGTGTGTACATGAAAAGCCACACAAATTGAATTTTCGGTTTGACTTTTTGTTGTTATATTTTTGTTTAGTTATGCCTTTGAAGTCATATTTTGTTACGTTTTCCTTTTCTTTTCAGTTTTGTGCCATTGATTTTTGAGTATACCACCCCAAAAATAACGATAAACAGCAAAACAGTGAAAACTCAAAAAAAAAAAAAAAAAAAACAAAAAAAAAACAAAATTAAAAAAAAAACAAAATTTAAAAAAAAAAACAAATCCAGTTTTAGAAGCAGCCGAATACAAAGTCGATACCGATATATCGATACCAATAACAGTAGTCAAATCAACGTGCACTTTTATTGTTATCATTTAGAGTGAATTTTTTTTCGTTTTTGGCAGCAGCAACTGGGTCTGGGGCCGGGGCTGGGGAAGGGTATCTCCATAGGCTGCATACCTTTTGTTTTGTATCAAAATTCTCTCTTCATTTAACAAACTAAACGCAAACCAAACAAATGGCGGCCTACTTGAATCGCACCATTTCACTGGTGACTGGCCAAACGGGCCCATCCGCCAACGACAAAAACTCGACACCGGGCACCGACACCGTTGACGATTCACGGCACAATCTGTCACTGCAACCGTCTGCCTCATCCACGTCGGCCAACATGTCTGGCATATCCGACAATCGCATGTATCAACCGAATGACAAATCGCCACTGCAGATTTTCGTCCGCGCCAAGAAGAAGATCAACGATATATATGGTGAAATCGAAGAGTATGTGCTGGAGACAACCATCTTCATCAATGGTAAGTGATAGTCTATCTTCGACTACATTTTGCATTGCATAACAAGCTTAACAATTGTAGCTCTGCATGCGGATGCGGAAATTGTGGACAAGGCGGAGCGCGAGCTGTTCGAAAGCTATGTACACAAGGTGGCTGCCATACGTGAGGTACTGCAGCGGGATCACATGAAGGTCGCTTTCTTTGGTCGTACCTCCAATGGCAAAAGCTCTGTGATTAATGCTATGCTGCGTGAAAAGATTCTGCCAAGTGGCATTGGCCATACCACAAATTGTTTTTGCCAAGTCGAAGGCAGTGACGGTGGCGAAGCCTATCTCATGAAGGAGAGCTCCGACGAGAAGCTCAATGTGGTGGTAACTGCTAAATATCCATTCACACGTTCCTAACACACCTTAAACTAATGTTTCTCTAATTTCGCAGAACATTAAGCAATTGGCCAATGCTCTGTGCCAGGAGAAGCTTAGCGAGAGCAGCCTGGTCCGCATATTTTGGCCACGCGAACGTTGCAGCTTGCTGCGTGATGATGTTGTCTTTCTCGACTCTCCTGGTGTCGACGTTTCTCCCAATCTGGATGATTGGATTGATAATCATTGTATAAATTCAGATGTCTTTGTGCTGGTCCTCAATGCGGAATCAACAATGACACGCGCCGAGAAACAATTCTTTCACACAGTGTCACAGAAGCTGTCTAAACCAAATATCTTCATACTGAACAATCGTTGGGATGCATCGGCCAATGAACCGGAGTTTCAGGAATCGGTAAGCTCTTGCATATATCCATTTAGATGTGCTCTTCTTGTAAGCCTATATGTAAACGTTGTATATTTTTCATTACTTTTGTTTACTACCCTACCAAATACATAATGTGTGTATCTGTATCCACGCCAGGAGCTGGCTAAGGTAATGTTTTATCCAGACCCAGTTTCCTGACACATAGCTTTGTTGCCTCTGTTTCGTTTTAATTTGCCCGTCCATAAATATGCCGCATCTGTCGAGAGGCGAGACATGTCTATGGCAAAAGCTAATTCTTCTGTTGCATTCAGTAATACATTCCGTAAAATCGTAGCTAATAAATGGTTTCTTTTCTGGCTGCTTATGGTTGTTACCCGTCTACAGGTTAAGTCGCAGCATACGGAACGCTGTATTGATTTTCTCACCAAGGAGCTTAAGGTCTGCAATGAGAAGGAGGCTGCGGAGCGGGTGTTCTTCGTGTCAGCTCGCGAGACGCTGCAGGCGCGCATCGAGGAGTCGAAGGGCAATCCGCCCCATTTGGGCGCCATTGCTGAAGGCTTTCAGATACGCTACTTTGAGTTCCAGGACTTTGAGCGTAAGTTCGAGGAGTGCATCTCGCAGAGCGCGGTCAAGACCAAGTTCCAGCAGCATAGCTCGCGTGGCAAGAGCGTCTCGGGGGATATGCGCTCCATGCTGGATAACATCTTCGAGCGGATCACAATCTTTCGCAATCTGAAGCAAGATCAGAAGAATCTGCTCACTGAACGCATTCAGGGCACCGAGACGCAAATGATGCAGGTGACGCGTGAAATGAAAATGAAAATTCACAATATGGTCGAGGAAGTAGAGGAGAAGGTGTCCAAGGCACTTAACGAGGAAATATGGCGATTGGGCGTCCTCATCGACGAGTTCAACATGCCCTTCCATCCGGAGCGTTTGGTGCTTAACATCTACAAAAAGGAGCTCAACGCACACGTGGAGAGTGGTCTGGGCAGCAATTTGCGCGCCCGTCTCTCCATGGCGCTGGCCATGAATGTGGAATCAGCTCAAACGGAAATGACCGACCGCATGCACGCGCTGGTGCCGAACGAGCAGCTGCTCACAAATAGCGCCAAGCTGGCGGTTCGCACACAGCCATTCGAAATGCTCTACTCATTGAACTGCCAGAATCTTTGCGCCGACTTCCAGGAGGATCTCGACTTCAAGTTCAGCTGGGGCATCACGGCCATGATACAGCGATTCACAGGCAAGGTGCGCGAGCGCACCAAGAAGCAAACGCCCGCCTTGCTCAATCGCCAGAGCAGTATTGGGGTGAGCCCTATCCGAGTGTTCCTTTTAGCAAACGGCTTTTAACGATCTGTCTTTCAGCACACTGTCGTAACGCCGGTGAGCACGCCCGTGGAGTCGACGCCCGTTTGCTTGCTCCCTGGATCGGGAGTAGGTGGAATTACGCCCGAACAGCTATCGGTTATATCACGTTTTGCGCTGTCCTCGATTGGATCGCAGGGCACCGTTGGCGGTCTAGTTGTAGCGGGCATTGTAAGTATTGACGTGAGAGGTTACTGATGCTATTTACCGGCTGCCTAGCAGGTGTTATTATATCGCTATGTGCTGAAAACCGAACACTTGCAGATGCTGAAAACGATCGGGTGGCGTGTTCTTGTCGGCATCGGTGCACTCTATGGCTGCATCTATCTGTACGAGCGTCTGTCGTGGACCAACTCAGCCAAGGAGCGCACCTTCAAGAGCCAATACGGACGGCATGCCACCAAGAAGCTCAAAATGATTGTCGATCTCACGTCGGCCAACTGCAGCCACCAGGTGCAACAGTAAGTGATCCCCTCGATTTCCTCACTAAATATGAAACCGCATTTAACTGCTCCAAATTGAATGTCTTTAGGGAGCTGTCCAGCACATTTGCTCGTTTGTGCCGCACTGTGGACACCGCCACCACCGATATGAATGAGGAGCTGAAGACACTGGAGGCACAGCTGAATGTGCTTGAGTCCAATCAGAAGCAGCTGAAGCTCCTGCGCAACAAGGCCAACTACATACAAAACGAGCTGGACATCTTCGAGCACAACTACATTGCGCCGCAGTAGATGTAATTACAGCAAGGATCTGTGTTCACGTATTTCAACAGCGAATACCCAATCGAACACCACGACGACGAAGAAGCCTAACAACAACGATGACAAATTTTTCCCTCTTTCCGCGGACAGAAGAAAGTGAAACTTATTTAAATTGATTCTTCTTTTTTTTTTTTTTATTAGACACTTTTGCAAAATTGTTAACGCATGTTTTTCTCTTAGTTTTTTCTTGCTCGTAGCTTACAGATATACAATTTTTTTAGCCACTCGTTGCAGTTAAACTATTATATAATTTTTGACTGTGTTTTTGTTTTTATTAATTATATACATATATCAATATATTGTAATTGTTGTTGTTACACTCTGCATACACACTGTGACATGGCCGGGTGCCATGAAAACAAGGAAAAATTTACTAATTATATCTTAAACATTATATTGAAATGATCCCTGTTTATAATTGATTAGGATATATGATTGATGCTCGCTATCTATGCTTAATCATCGTTGTCATTGTCATTGTCTATTTCTGAAAATGTAAAGTGAGCAGCTTCAATTGTTATAAATGATGAAGCTCAATAGAGACAATTGTTTTCGCTGCAATCAGAGAGGGAAGGCGAGAGAGAGAGAGAGGTAGCTAGAGCTATACGCAATTTAGTGTTGCGTAAGCGAGTGCGCATGATGACGCGTGCAATTACGAAAAATTATTGCGAAATTCTGAGTCATTTAGTTGTATTGACGTTTTGCTAATTGATTTATGAATTTAAACGTATTTTTATAGAAAACTTATATGCCAGGGAATTCTATGCATCTACGCGCATATAAATATATGTATGTATACAAATAATAATAAAGGTTTATTGGGGGCGGATTAAGATATGTAGACTAGACCTATATATAAATTATGAAGCACTGGTCCAAATTCGGCTGTCTCTGGGGACTTCCTTAGGTGGATGTGGTTATTGTTGCACCTTGCCGCTAGGCAAGATGTTATTCGATTGCAGATTACGTTAAGGTGTCTCAAGTTTCCTCAGCTGATAAGTGTTTCAATAGTTCTTGCGACCATAAAAGGATGAAGTTAGGAAATCTCTGCGACTGCAATTGCCAGTTAATAATATATATATACGATACTAGCTTATACACACTAAACTATACAGTGTCATTCTCATGCATTTCTTCTTGACTGCAGTAGAATGTGTATTATGTGATATAGTGAACCGATTCGATTGAGGCTAACATTCCACTATATAGCCGATATATGTATATGTATATCTATATATTCGGTCTATGGTTCCTAAACTCATGGCAACACACAAATAGACAGATTATATATATCTAGATATATACATATATACCTCTATATATACCTGCCTGCCTTGCGTACCCTTTCTATTCTCTTATATTTGGGGCTTATTTTTGAATATCATAAAAGCTGAAAAAAATCTGATTATAGAATTTGAGCAAGCGCATGACGTGACGCATGACTGACAATTGACTACAGCAGGGTGTGTCCGACTAGGAGCTACCTTGACCAATGCAAGGCTGCCATGTCTATCGTGCTTTTGTGGCAGACGAGCGCAGTTCGTCGTCTTCATCGACCTTATAGGGTCTGTCACGTCCCCTTTTGTCACTTGCAAACATTTCTACATAGCCCGCATGCCTCAGTGTCATTTCCATGCGCCTAGACGCTGTCAAAGTGCCTTACAGTATTTTTTTGATTTTCTGAACGCAGTTGAATCGCATGACATTAGGGAGGCTTCACTTCACCCACTAGCGCCCATCATTATTAAGCAAAATAATTTCATTCATATATATCAAGCTCCGTTTAAATTTATTTTTCGAAATTACATTGGTTTCCAGGTTTAGTTCATAACTCATAACTCAGACACAGTTTGAGTTATTCTCGTGAAATTGATTAGATGATTTGATTATAATAATTACATATAGACATAAGCTGCTATTAAGGCCAACTGAATGATGTATATTATATTAAAGACTGTTTAGCAGACCTATCCATATACATATGTTAGCGTTATCTCATAGGAATAATACAAATATGCGAGTGATGCCATTTCTATATTCTATATAGATAAACATTCATAACATTTACAACCCAACAACTCGAAGAGCGAAAACAAAACCTAAAGTATTATTAAATATATCTAAATACAGGAAATTTGATAATCATTTGTTTTTGATTGTTTTTAATCTCTACACAAATTTGCACTTAATGTAAAGAAAAGAGAAATGCATTTTACATGTTGTCTTTTGCTTTTTTTTCGTTTTGTTTTGTTTGGTTTTTGAGTTTCCTCTTTGAACGGGTTTCCAATAATGCTTTTGCTTCTTTTCGTGCCATACAATTCATATTTAAATACAAATAGCACAAATAATAAGATTTACATATACATATATATATATATATATATATATATATATATATATATATATATATATATATATATATGTATATATATATGTATATATATATATATATATATATATGTATGTATATATGTATGTATGTAAAGATATATGTTTTAAATGATATACGAATAGATAGGAATATTAAAATAATCGGCTGTAAAACCGGCAACAAAATACAAGGTTGAACAAATCTTTTGAGCATAATTATGAATACGATTCTTTCTCTAAGTGTTGGATTTATGGTGTTTACAAGCTTTCGTGTGTGTGTGTTGGAGTGTGCATGTGTATGTGTGTGTGTGTGTGTGTGTGTTTTGGTTTATCTGCTGGCGGCTGCCGATTTGCACGGCTAGTTAACTCAATCTATTTTTGATCGCTGGCAGTGCGAAGCGAGTCAGCCCTAAAGTGTTCGACTGAAGGGTGATCGGTCGGGCGGTTGGTCGGTCGTTGGATGGTTTGTTGTTTCTTCTCCATGTAAACGTGTTTACAAGAAATACGGCGTCGTATTCTGTTTGGGTATAACGCGCTCCGAATCGGGCACGGCAAGAAAGATTTTCGTTTGCCGCTGCTGCGCCGTGTCGAAGCTCAGTATGGTCGCCACATTGCCACAACGATAGCAATAGTTGGGTGCTGACCAAACGGTGACTAGCTTGCCCTCAAACATGTACTTGATGCCTTCGTTGACTAGCTGGTGTGCCCGGCAGATCAAGTCCAGATTGTTGATGGTCATAAAGTCTTTCGTCACATTATGGCCAAACAGCCAGCCGGCGCCACGCGGACTCTGGCCCCTACGCAAAGCACACAAATGAACACATTAGCTCGGATGGAATGCTAGTAATCTATTAACTTATTTATTTACCAGTATTCCATATCCTCTGGGTCGGACCAGACCAGATCACAGAAGGCGCCTTTATAGGGTATCTCGCCATTGCGTTCAATTGTGCGTATTTGATCCAGTGTTATAATCTCAGGACTAAGCCCGCCATGCACGCACAGCACGCTCTCGTCAATGATCTATATGTGAAAAGATTACGAAGATTAGCATTTTTCAATCATCCTCAGTCTCTCTGCTTGTGGGTTTACCTACCGCAGCAATGGTAAGAAGGTCGAATACCTTACAGCAGTATTTCCACCCGTTGGCATTGCCATATTTGCTAAAGCATTCGTCGAAGAAGCCGTACACCTTTGTTATCTGCCGCGTCTCGTGGTTGCCCCGCAGCAAAGTGATTCGACTTGGATAACGGGCCTTAAGCGTCAGCAGGCGGGTGAATGTCTCCAGGCTGTAGTAGCCCCGGTCGACAAAGTCGCCCATGAATATGTAGTTTGTGTCGGGCACTTGGCCGCCAGTTCGAAACAGCTGCTCCAGATCATAGAACTGAAACAAATCCATTTCAAACATGCACAAATCATAGCTGGATAATAAGTCGTGTGTTTTAGGGTGACCATTACCTGGCCGTGTATGTCGCCACACACTGTGACGGGCGTGCTCACTGGCTGTATGTTGGTCTCCTCCAACAGTATGTCGCAGACAATATCACAGAGTTTCTTCAATTCATTTTCTGGCAAGTATTTGCACTCCTTCACAACATCTATCCATTTGTCGACATCACCCATTTTATTGCTCCTGTGTTTTGTGCAGCGCACCCAAAGCCTGTTGGTAAAGTTCGTGGAAAAACGCAACAAAATCCGCAAAACAGTAAAATACCAAAACAAAATGAAAGCCATGTTCCAAAAAAATACTATCGATAACAGGTATGAAAATAATGTGCGTTTCGCGTGCCGCACATAAAAATTCACTAAAAATGAAGTAAATAATAAAAAATACTATCGATATGTTAAGTCAATTGACATGCTGTTAACTTCTAACCGAACTGACCTGTTAAGTGTTTAAAAATTGGCATTTGGCGCAAAACGTTTTTTATTGGATCTCTATGAGTTTCTTATTAACAATATATTTGTGCATTCATATGATTTTTTGACACTTAAACATACTTAAATAGAGAGTTTGCTTTGCTTTGCTTAATGCAATTCATGGCGTGCCTTACAAGAGTTGCTTTGCTGTGTCCTTTTTCGGTTAATGTTTGTCTTATGGCTTTTAGCGCAAAATTAGTTGTAATTAGCTTTTGCTTAAAGCAAATCATAATTAGCATACAGCAGTGGGACCGACAGAACCCGCCACGGCCGTTCCTTGGCTTACTCCTTGATGCCGGGCTTTGTTTTTCAGCGTATAGAAATAATCACGCTTTTAAATTTTATTGCTGTGGCACGAGCTGCTTGTTGAATTTAGCTCTGTGTGTGCGAGTGTGTGCTTTGTGTCAGTGGGGCAGAAACATGCTGGCATCTTGTTGTCTAGGGAATGGCGGTTGAGCGGGTTGAGCGGGTTACGGAGTAGCGGACCGGCAGCGTAAGCTTGGGTGTTTGGAGAGTCTCATTAGTGACGCGCGCGCGGTTTGTCGTTGGTTTGGGGTAAAGGCAAGTTATTTGTATTGTTTTGTATTATTATTTTCTTTTTCTTTTTTTTTTTGGTTGTACTTGACTCGACTCTGTACTTTGCGCTGGCTGTGGGGGCAGTCTGACTGTGTGCCATGAAATTGGATTTAAGTGGGGGACAAGACAGCAAAGGGTTAAGCTGCAGCTGCTTGGTGCGCAGCTTGCCGAACTTTTGTCAAGCGGAACTCTAGTTTTGTAAGAAATACAAATTAAGAGAATAGAAAGGTAGCTAGATCTTCTTCTTTTCACTTTACCAACAAATTAACTAGAGTAATTCAAGTTTGTCAAGAAATTCTTTATCCACTGAAAATAAATTAAATTTTTGACTTTAGATGCACAATGAATGGCCTTTATTTCAAATTAATGAAATTTTTATTGATTAACTGTTAAATAATATTTATTAAGTGATAAATTATAAAAATAAATTCAAAACTTAAAATGTGTAACAAAATAAACAACAAAAACCAAAATTACTCATTTTTTAATTGTTTACACAAACACATTGATTGT